GCTGGACAGTACGTTCGGGCACTCGGGGCGCAACCTTGCATGCCCTTTGTGGAGGAAGATGGGCTGGGAGAGGGGAAGGCGGTTTGCCGCCGAGGCGGCTCGCCGCCAGGAGGAGGAGGAGGAGGAGGAGGAGGAGGAGGAGGAGGAGGAACCCCTCCGCAGGGCTGAAACGTGGACCAGCAGAGAGGCGTCCATCGACGGCCAGATGTACGGCAGCCAGGACAGACGGCGCAACCAACCTTGGTATTTAGGGGTGCACATGCGTGTGCCCCCCCAAAAATCGAGGCGCTGCTGCCCTCAGGATTTTCTCCTGGGCGACGGCGAGGCGTACATCGTGCATTGCTGCGCGCAGGCTGGCGCCGCCAGCTACCTGCTGGTGGAGACCCTGGAATGGGTGCGCGCGCCATGCCCAGGCGCGTCCCTGTGGCGGCCGCGCGGCGACGTCGCCGTGATGCCCGCCGAGCTGATCCCGCCAGCCTGGGCGGCTTATCGGCGACTACAGGACGATGGCTATGTGCTCGCCATCACGTGAAAAAGGAAAAAACGAGCGCATGCGAGAGCGGATATGCCGCTGGCGGATGCGCCGCCCTTCGATAGAGAGGTGCAGGAGGGAGGGGCGGATATGCCGCCGAAGAAGGAAGGCGGGCTCGGGGAGGGAAGGCGGCAGGAGGGAGCGGGGGCGGGCTGGCCGCCGACAACGAGGAGAGGAGAGGGGAGGCGGTGATGGCCGCCGAGGGGAGGCAGTTTGAAGAATAGTTGATCCCCCCCCTCTCCCTCTCCCCCCTTCCCCTCCGCGCCCCGCAGGCGTCCTGAGGGCGGCTCGGCGCGTCGACCTGCGGCGCCCTGTCCTGAAAAACTGTTGTGTTGTAGTTGTTAAAACGTTTTTTGTGGTTTTTTCCCGAAACATAGCAATATCAAGAACAAACATGCAAAACATAGAAAGTTATGCAAATTTCGGGTTAACCGAATCGGACAGCCCACATCGACTTAGCTGACTTAGCTACTAAGTTGGGTATGTTGAGGTGTATGTATCGATATATCTTGGCAGTGGTACCCGATAGCTCAGTTGATAAGATGGATGGTTCTGTGAGTAGTATGTATGGTATGTTGTTGAATATACTTATCTAACAAAACGTTAAGTAGATGAATGCGAAGTTCGATATTTTATATATGTTGAATATGTGAGGTCAACTAGCATGAACCTACATACATCTTCGTTGAAACGATTTCATCGGATATACAACGCTCTTACCGCACTTACACCCACCCGACGATCAAAGCATGCCCCCCCCCGATTTCCGAGGGGGAGGGGGGGGGCTTACTTCGCTCGGGAGCTCCCGGACGAAGTGAAGCCCACGGCTCACGTCGGGCCTGTCCCCCTACAGGGGGATTTTCGACGAAAAATGAAAAACACCCAAAAAATACCCCACAAAGGTAAAAAGATACCCAAAGATAGTCCCGGGACTGTTTTTGGACTATGTTTTTTGGGGTATTGTCAATTTTTCGTCGACCATTTCCCTGCGTGGGGCACAGGCCCGACTTCACGCCAGGCTCCTGCGCACGGGGGCGGCCGCCCCAGGGTCGCCGCCTGCGCCCAGGCCCCCACGGGCCTGGGCCGCCGGGCCTCTCTCCCCGCGGGGCGGCGAGGCCGCGCACGCGGCCTGCTCCCCCCGCGCGGGCGCGCAGCCCTCGCAGCCCCCCGGCGGCTCCGCTGCCCGCCGCCGCCCGCCGCGCGGGCGGGGCTCGCGGCCGCCCCGCCCCGCGCCTCGTGCTCCCCACGATGCGTGCCACGGCTTCCTCCTGCTCCCCTCGCTCGGCTCCCCCCCTTGTCGCCCCGCCCGTCGTCGTGCTGCCCCCTCTGGCCATCCTCGTCTTCGTGCCCTCCTCCTCCCTCCTCCTCCTCCTCCTCCTCCTCCTCCTCCTCCTCCTCCTCCTCCTCCTCCTCCTCCTCCTCCTCCTCCATTCCTTTTCTTCATAAATCTATAGCCCCCTCTTCCTCGTCGTCTTCGTGCCCTCCTCCTCCTCCATTCCTCCTTCCCCTCACAAAGAACCCCGCCCTGTCGCACCCCGAGGCCAGTCGGAAGGGCGGGCCGGGCGTTGCGCTCGAGATGTCCGAGCCATCTGTGGCCCTGGAGGTTGAGAACCAGCAACAGCTTCACGAATGGTCAAAATGTGGCTCTCGCCTTGGCACCGCGCACACACCCTTCCCAACCAATTGCGCGAGTTTTGCGGATTGAGGGCAGATCGTTTTTTTTTTATGTGGCTCGCGCCTCAGCGCCGCGCACATGCGTCCCGCCCAAAATGCACGAGTTTCACGGGGTGAGGGCGGGTGATTTTTTAAATGTGGTTCTCGCCGTAGCGCCGCGTCTTCACGGATTGAGGATGGGTCGTTTTCAAAATGTGGCTCTCGCCATAGCGCCGCGCACACTCGTCTTAAACACTTCCAGAGTTTCACGGAGTGTCGCTTGTGCGCATGTCTGTGTGTCTGTCGGCTTTTGCGCCGCGCGTAATCGTTTTTTGAGCTTCGCGGATTGAGGGCGGGTCTGTTTCAAAAGTCCTCGCTCTAGCGCCGCGCACATTCGTTTTAAACATCGCAAGAGCTTCACGGATTGAGGTCGGGTGGTTTTCAAAAGGTGGCTCTGGCCTTAGCACCACGCACATTCGTTTCAAACATGTGGAAGATTTTCACGAAGTGACGCCAGCTTTTCAAAATGAGTTTCCCGTCCTAGCGCCTAACGCCGCGCACATTCGTGTTAGACATTTGGGAGATGTTTGCGGGTTCGCATGGTTATCGTACCAAAATTTGCGTTCTGTAGCAATTCAGGGCTGTCAGGGCGCATCGATTACGTTGATTCGCGGTGTGGAAGTTCCAGGAGCGGTGTTCTGACACGATTCAGCATCGTCAAGGCAGAACAGGCAGGTTGATCCGTGGCGTTGAAGACTCGAGAACGGTGTTTTGGCACGCTTCAGGATTTTCAAACGGTTGTCTCCCAACAGGGCACTTCCCTCAGTGGAAAAGAATCCCTGTAGGGGCCTATGAAGGGGGAGCTTGGAGGGAGGGTTGATTCCAAAATCGTCGATGAATCTTGGGTTTGCACTGGTCTCCTCCTCCTCCTCCTCCTCCTCCTCCTCCTCCTCCTCCTCCTCCTCCTCCTCTTCCTCCCCTTCCTCGTTCTCCCTTTTCTACCCTTCTTACCGCTCTTCCGCCTCCTCCATTCGCCCCTGCCGATCCCAGCCTCCTCCCACCTCCCCCCTCCACTGCTGCTCTGCGCCGCAGCCATCTCGGGCCGCATGCACATCCGTCTGCCTCCCGTCGAGCGCCCTTGGCGTGGTCGGATGAGGGGAGCAGGGGGGGGGCTAGGTCGGATGAGGCGTGAGCGCTCTTGGCTTGGCTCCCTCCTGTCTTCCCAGACCCCCTCGAGTTATGGAAAAAATCACGACGGGAGGTTTTTCCATATTTTTGGCATTTGGGGGCCCTTACCGGCCCTCGGGACCGTCAAGAAACGACTCAGTACGAAACACCGGTCCCGGGGAATGGGTCGAGACCTCGGGGGGTGGATGTCATGAAAAAATCACGACGTCGGGGGTCTGGGTTCCTCGACCCCTCCCTCATCTGCCCTCTCTCTCCCTCTCACTCTCTTCCTCTCTTTCCGCTTCCCCATCCTTCAGGGCGGCGAGGGCCGCCACCCGTCACTCGAAGGGGGACGCATGGACAGGGGAGGCTCGGGGCCAGGTCCACGGGGCCGCGATGCCGCTGTTGAGGCGGTTGCGAGTTTTCTCGGGCGCATGCTCTAAATGAGCCTCTGGGTGAACAAATCAGTCCTCCTCCTCCTCCCCCCCCACACCGATCGCCCCACCTTCATCCCAGAGGATGAAAAACTGACAGAACGGAGGTTTTGTTCCTCCAACACGAGGGCCTCTCGCATCCAGAATGCTGGTTCGATTTTCAGATTGGAGGTTTTCGATCCTCTGGGACCCTCTCCCCCCTCATCCCTCCTCCTCCTGCCCCCCCTTGCGGCGGGGCTTCTTTGAAGCCCCCCAGCTTTTTTTGAACCTTCTTTGTCTCTGGAGAAGGTTCAGAAAGCTTCGCTGGTTGACTTCTGAGCCTTCTAAGATGGGCCTTCCCTCCTGCGCGCGCCGCCGGATCCTCCCCCTTCAGGGCAGCGAAGAGCTAGCTGCAGTCCGTGCTCTGGAGACCCTGGGCCGACGGCTCGTGTTAGCCAGCAGCCACTGCCCGCTGAGCGTTGTGATCCATCAGTGGCCAGAGTCCACCGACGACCTGTGTGCAACGTACCGCATTGGCGTCTCCCGAGGCGCCGTCGATCCTCGACCCAGGAAAGGCCCCCAGCGCCCGAGAAGCTGCGCACCGCGCCGCGCTGGAGCGGGGCCACGGCGGAGCCCAGACGCGGCACCGTGCACGGGCAGCGGCTTCGTGCAGAGCGCGGAAACACACACGCACACACACACGCACACACACACACACACACACACACACACACACACGCACGCACGCACGCACGCACGCACGCACGCACGCACGCACGCACGCACGCACGCACGCACGCACGCACGCACGCACGCACGCACGCACGCACGCACGCACGCACGCACGCACGCACGCACGCACGCACGCACGCACGCACACCACACACACACACACACACACACACACACGCACGCACGCACGCACGCACACACGCACGCACGCACGCACGCACACACACACACACACACACACACACACACACACACACGCACACACACACGCACGCACACAGCACACACACACACACACACACACACACACACACACACACACACACACACACACACACACACACACACACACACACACACACACACACACACACACACACACACACACACACACACACACACACACACGCACACACACGCTGCCGTGCCCCCTCCCCCTCCCCGGCCGAGGCGGCCCCGTCCGCGGCCGCGGCCGCGGCGGCCGCCGCGGCCACGGCGTCGAGGCGGGCGCCCTTCAGGCCGGCGGGCTCGGGCGCGCCGGGAGCCCGCGCGGGCGGCGCGCCCGGGAGTTCGGCGATCCAGGCCCGCCCGCGCCGCTTCCGCGCGCGGGGGTCGGCGAGCCGAGGGAGCACCACGACGACGACGACGACGACGACGACGACGACGACGACGACGACGACGACGATGCCGACGGGCCCCGACGCCGGCGGCGCACGCGCCCTGCGGAGGCTCCGATGCACAGTTCCGTCCGCCACAGCGCGCGTTCCTCGCGCGCTCGACGGACCCACAGGGGGAGGGTCATGGACAGGTTCTTTCGGGGCATGGTTCCCAGCAGCTGCGCCTCGGCGAGGGCGCTCTGGGGGTGCCGGGATCGCCCCGAACGGCCACTGGGGGCCCGAGCTTCCACCCGAAGAGCAGACGACGTTGCCCTCGTCACCACGGCTGGATTCTGCTCGAAGTTCGGGTCAGAGCGCGCCCCAGGAGAGCTCCGTGGAGCGGTCGGGGGAGAACGGGTTGTCACAGGCCGCTGCGCCCCCGACCGCTTCGCCCCGCGCAGCGCTTGTCCCGCGGGCCGCTGCGCCCGTGGACCGCCCCGAGCGGCGTCATCCCGGGCAGCTTCGCCCCGGAGCGCTGCTCCCTGGACCGCTTCGCCCGTCGCGGTCTCCTGCTGTGGCCTCCCTTCGTGGTTGTCGCTGGTCGTCGCCTCCGCTCGTCGTAGCCCCTCGGCGTTCGCCGTCGTCATCGTCGTCGTCATCGTCGTCGGTGGCACTCGTCGCCGTCGTCGCCGCCGCCGCCGCAGTCATCGTCGTCGTCGTCGTCGTCGTCATTGTCGTCGTCGTCGTCGTTGTCGTCGTCGTCGTCGTCGTCGTCGTGGTCGTCGCCACTCGTCGTCCTCCGTCAGTCGTCGTCTGTCTAATTACGTTGTCATTCCTGGCCGTCGTTCGTCGTCGCCACCCGCCCTTCAGGGTCCGTCGCCACCCGCCCTGTGAGGATCCGCTCGCTCGTGTTCTTGAGAAAAGCCCGCCCGCCCGCTGCAATGTCGTGTGATGCCTCGCCCTGGCTGGCCCCGCCTGCCAGGGTCCGCCCGCCAACCCCGCCCGCTGGGGTCCACCCGCCCGACCCGCCCGTCAGAACGTGGGGTTGCTGTAATGTGTTTTAGGTTGCCACATGCGAACCCTACCCCTACCCCTCACGATTTTTGAGGGGAGGGTGGGCTTCACTTCGTTCGAGAGCTCCCGAGCGAAGTGAACCCCACCCTCCCCCTCAAAAATCGTGGGGGGTAGGGGTAGGGTTCGCATGTGGCCCCCTATGTTTGCTCACATCGTGGGAACTCACATCCACGGTAAACGGTAAAGGCTGCCAATGAAATTAGATCCACGCGTCCCAGAATCAGAGCCGCCGAAGAGTCCGTCGCAGTCGTTCCGGCCCGAGCGACCCCGCCCATTGAAGGTTCTGCGTGAGGCGTTCCTTGGGTCTGCGCACAGGCAGACGCCAGCGCGCACTCTTCCTGCGCTTAGCTGCCTTGATACGCCCGCTTTGATGCGCAGCACGCGCCGTGCTCAAAACGTCCCTGTCGATACGTTGCGTGTCGGCTCAACGTATTGGCCCACGTTTTGGCGAACGCATCGCGTCAGACCTACGTCTTCAGTCTACGTGTGCAGCTCCGTATCAATACGCTACGTGTCGCGTGCTGCGTATCGGGGCCGCTATAAGTTCGTGCGACACGGCGGGCGCGGAGGCGGCATGTCCAGAGCTGCGCGCGGCATGGGGTTCTTTGGGGGGCCTCTTGGGCCGTCTTGGGACGTCGGAAGCTCGAAAAGGCGAGAATCCCCAGAACATGAAACAGCAGTTGGAACAACAACGATGTGTGTGTCTCTCGAGGCCATGCTGGGACAAACTCTTGTGGCTCTCTTGGGACGTCTCGACGGCCTCTTGGGCTGTCTTGAGGCCACCTTGGGCACGCTGGAGGTCACGGTGAGCCGTCGTGGAGCCATCTTCTGGCAGCCTTGGATGCATCTGGTCTCTGCCGCATGCTGCAGAGGACTGCGGCCTCGGGAGACTGAATGCGCCGCAGTTTGCAGGGGATTCGGGCGGGATTCTGGCCTCGTGAGGGTGGCCGATGCATGGGACCTCCTCCTCCTCCTCCTCCTCCTCCTCCTCCTCCTCCTCCTCCTCCTCCTCCTCCTCCTCCCTCTCCTCCTCCTCCTCCTCCTCCTCCTCCTCCTCCTCCTCCTCCTCCTCCTCCTCCTCCTCCTCCTCCTCCTCCTCCTCCCTCCTCCTCCTTCCTCCTCCTCCTCCTCCTCCTCCTCCTCCCCTCCTCCTCCCCCTCCTCCTCCCTTCCTCCTCCTCCTCCCCCTCCTCCTCTCCTCCTCCTCCTCCCTCCTCCTCCTCCTCCTCCTCCTCCTCCTCCTCCTCCTCCTCCTCCTCCTCCTCCTCCTCCTCCTCCCTCCTCCTCCTCCCCTTCCTCCTCCTCCTCCTCCTCCTCCTCCCCCGCTCCAGGCGGACATGCTGCAGCTGCAGAGGGCGCCTCAAGAAGACGGCGACGGCCGTCGGCGCCCGAGCGCGCCCCGGCGGCGGCGCGGCGGCGGCCGCCAGCAGCCCCCCCCGGGGAGCCACAGGATCCCGCGGCCCGCCAGCGCCGCAGGGCTCTCCAGGGGCTCCTCCTCCTCCTCCTCCTCTCTCCTCCTCCTCCTCCTCCTCCTCCTCCGCCCTTCCTCCTCCTCTCCTCCTCCTCCTCCTCCTCCTCCTCCTCCTCCTCCTCCTCCTCCTCCTCCTCTCCTCCTCCTCCTCCCCTCCTCCTCCCCCTCCACCTCCACCTCCACCTCCCCCCCCCCCCTCCCCCTCCCCCTCCCCCGGAGAAGGCGCGGCAGACCAGCCGCAGACCTCGAGATCTTGGCGCGGCAGTCTGCTCCACAGCGGGCGGTTCTGCCTTTCCGTCGGGCCCCGGGGCCCGAAAGCTGCCCTCGGTCCGAAGCCGGCTCGATCGATGGATCGGATCTGCCCTTGCGGGGCACTCGCGCATCGGTGCGGCTCGAAAGCTGCCGCCCGAAGGGGGGGGTCCAGGGCCCCGCTCGAGGCTTTCCTGCGGTGTTGCCACGCTGTCGTGGCGTGGGCTCCCGAGGGGCCAGGGGGACCCGATGATCAGGAGACGGAGGACTGTGAGGAGGAGTACGGGGGGAAGCTCCTCCTCCTCCTCCTGCTCCTGCTCCTCCTCCTCCTCCTCCTCCCTCCTCCTCCTCCTCCTCTCTCCTCCTCCTCCTCCTCCTCCTCTTCTCCTCCTCCTCTCCTCCCTCCTCCTCCTCCTCTTCCTCCTCCTCCTCCTCATCCTCCTCCTCCTCCTCCTCCTCCTCCTCCTCCTCCTCCTAGGACGACGAGGAGGAGAACTAGGAAGAGCAAAAGGAGGCCTCTTGGGACCCTCCCCGATGCTCCAACGACACATTCGCGGCCTGCCTTGGCCATCTTTGCCATCGTGGAGTCACTTGGGGGGCCGGGTCCATCTGGGGTCATCTTGGCCGTTCTCGGTGCATCTTCGACCGACTCGCAGGGCATACAGCACGCTGCACATTCGTAATCTCCGAAGTCATCTTGGATCGTCTTGAAACTGTCTTGGTGCCCTCCTGGGTCCTGGGGGCCTCTCACACTGCCAACGTCCCGTTCGCGGTGGTGACCGTCGCCTCCCCAGCCTCCAGGAACTCATCCAGCCTCCGAACAGCCTCTTGACGTCATCTGGGATCGTCTGCAAGCCACCCTGGGTCTTCCGAGGTCCATCTTGGGCCTTCTTTTATCTCTGAACGCTTCGGACCCCATACACGTTCGGATCCCTCGTCTCACATCCCCCTCCCTCCTTTTCCTGTTTTTACCCCTCATCATCTTCCTCGCACCTCTCTTGCCTCATCCCCTCCTTTAACTCCAGTCCGTCCCTTTCTCCTCCCCCTCCGCCCCCCTCCTCCCCATCCTCCTCCTCCTCCGCCTCCTCCTCCTCCTCCTCCTCGTCCTCCTCCTCCTTCTCCTCCTTCTCCTCCTCCTCCTCTTCCTCCTTCTCCTCCTCGTCCTCCTCCTCTGAGTCTCACCCTCCTCATCCCCTCCGGCCACATCGCTCACGACCGAGACCGTGACCCTCCTCGCGGTCAAACCGCCGCCCCTGCCACTACATTTAACCCTTCGATCCTGCTCATATTCCTCCCCCCCTCCTGCCATCGCCACCTCCTTGATCACATTGCGCACATCAGCCAACGTCATCTCACCTTCACACCCTTCCTCGCCACCTTCGCCAGCGTGTCCAAGTCGGCCTACGCCGGTAGGCACTCCGCTTCACGTCTTCCCAGGGCGCTCTGCGCCTGAGCTCTTCGACCGCGCGCAATGCCGGCGAGGACGCACAATTACGTCTGCCAGCAGGCCGCCAGCCAGCCTGCAGGCGACGCCGGCGGCATCAAGCGCCGGAGCGCCGCGCCGTACACGACCCGGTGCCACGTGGACATGCTTGACACCCAGACCGCCCCCAACGCCGGGATGCAAGTCGCATTTCTTCGACAGCACATCGTCCAAGGACGGCGCCCCCTCCCAGCGCCGCGGCGTGCGCACGCTGATGGGCCGCACCGTGCCCGCTTTCAGCCTGCCCCACCCGCGGCGCGCCGTGGGACGCTGCAGTCTGCCAACACCCCGACCAAGGGCAGATCTTGGGTCTTCGTCGTCGCCACGGTGGGCACATCCACCGCGTCCGCCAAATGCGCCACCGCGTCTCCGCCGCGGATATCGGCACGCCCCTCACGCGCTTCGTGGCCCCGTAGGGAGCCTCACCGAAGGTCCCAGCGGGTGTGATGACCTACGTCCCCCCCGTCCATGCCGGCACGCCCCTCGCACGCTTCGTGGCCCCAAGGGAAGCTCCACCGAAGGCCCTTGCCCTTTCGCAAGGGAGGCCTCTTGCACGGTGCCGGCCCAGGCCGAGAAGGCGGAGTGGAAGGTGCGCGCTAAGACGCTGGCTTCTCGTCTATCGCTCACGTGGGAGGGCGCCCAGAACAACCCAGAACAACGGACAGCCGCACATCATCCGTGAGTTCTTGAACTTCAACATCTCCGTCTGCTCCAACGCGCCGCCAGCCGCGGCGAAGACCTTCCAGGACGTGCTGAAGAAGTTCCCCACGATCGTCTCACATCGTCTACCGCAACGTGAGCAGCCCCGCCGCCGGATTGTCCGCAGCGCCGCCTCCGGCAATCCACGGCAGTTCGGGAGGCGCGATCGGGCTGGCCCGCTCTTCCGCAGCCAAGAAGCGCCCAGCAGCTTCCTTTGTAATTAGGTCCAGCGCGCAAGCGCCTTGCGCGCCATGCCTGGGAGAGCCGGCGCAGTCGCAGCCCAGCTCTACGGCGCCTAGGTTGCGCGCTTGGCATGGATTGTTGAATGGCGCGCGTGGCTCGACTTGTGCCAGCGGCGTGTCGCGTAAGTGCTCATCCTGCAGCCCTGCCCACAGCCGGGAATGCCCTTCTTCATCTTCTGCCAAGCTCTGGACGCCCGACATGGGCACGGAAAGAATGGGTACAATGCCCAACAGCAGTTCCTGTTCAGTTTGAACAGGATTCGCTGTCCACGCCGCCGCGGCCTGTGTCCGTTCGAGACAGAAGGCCGCCTGCCCAACAGCGGCCGCTGTTGCTTTGGGACAACATTTGTTCTTGGGCATTGTACCCATTCTTTCGGTACCCATTTCGGGTATCCAAACAAGCGGGCGCGCGGCTTCTCCATTCCCACCTGCTCCCCGCGCCAGCTCAACAAAAATGCACCCGACCACTCGCCGCGCCGAGGCCGCCCGCGCAGCCGCCGTCTCTCCGACGTCGCAGCCGCGACCGTGACCGCAACCCCCCTCGTGGTCATGCCCGCGGCCCGTGCGTGATCTGACGGCAGCGAGCCTTTCCCCCCAAAGATTTCGCCCCTGCCCACTGAGACGGCCCCTTTCCCCCCCTGCCGCCGCCCCTCTGGGCCGAGCGCCCGTCGGCTCACCGCATGCCCGCCCGATGGAAGAAGGTTCGGTTGTGCTCAGTATGCTGCCGCATGTGCAGCCGCGACAGGTTCGCGGCCACCCGGCCCGACAAACATCGGAAGCGCTACAAAGCTTGCACGGCGGAGGCCGAAACCACAGCTGTTCCCACGTGCACGGCGCGCCGCTCCCCTCGGCCGCGATCGGCTGCCGCTCGGCGCAGCGGAGACGCCCGCCCGCCCATGAAGCGGCTTGCTCCCCTGGGGCGCTTCCCTAAACGACTAAACGACCGCCGCCACGCCACGAACCCCGCGTGCGCAGAATGTTCCCCGACCGCCATGCGCGCGGCGCGCCCTGCCGCTCAGGCCGCTCACTTGGGCCCTCTCAGCCCCGCCTTGCGCGCGCTGCGGGGCTACGGGCGGCCATTAGCACTGGAACCTTCGGTGGGGCTCCCTATGGGGCCACGAAGCGCTGCACTGGGTGTGCGGGACGCATGCAGACGGTAGCACTGGGACATTCGGTGGGGCACCCTATGGGGCCACGAAACGCTGTACTGGGTGGGCCAAACGCTGGGAGGAGAGGGAGGAGGGCCACGAAGCGCTGTACTGGGTGGGGGATGACGCATGCGGACGGTAGCACTGGGACCTTCGGTGGGGCTCCCTATGGGGCCACGAAACGCTGTAATTATTGGGTGGGTGAAACGCAGGGAGGAGTGGGAGGAGGAGGGAGGAGGGAGAGGAGGAGAAGGAGGAGGAGAGCGCGGGGACCGTTACTTCAAAACGAGGACCCAACACCACAGGTCGCGAACAACGAAGGTCGAACCAAGAACCTAGATCCTGAACTTCCTCCTTCGTTCGATCCTATATTCGTGGCGTCGTGAGAGCAGTGCCCGCACGTGTGGCCACATGTCTTCTCGCGGCGCTCGGCCTCGCTTTGTTGCCAAGGCATGCCGGGCGGGCGCACACGCACACCCAGCGCATGGCCTCGGGCTGTTCCGCTCACGCGAATCCGGGCGCGTGCGTTTTGAAGAAGAAAAGCTGCACAAACATAGCGGCAGCAGAAGGAGGCGACGGCGTCGGACGTCTTCGGTCGATGATTCGGTCCGCAGCCGTCGCCGTCGCCTGGTGGTCGTCGCCGTCGCGGCCGCCGCCGTCGGCGGCGTCGGAGTCGTCGTCGACGGGCGTCGCACGTGGTCGTCGGGCGTCGTCGGTCGGTCACTCGGTCCGTAGCCGTCGCCGTCGTCTTGGCTAAGGCACCTGCGAGGAGCTCGGGGCGGATTTCTTGGATCGGCGCTGGACCCCCCTTCCTGGCGTGCGGAGCGCGCCAGGCGGCGCCGGAGGCGCCGCCATGGGGGCGGCAACTATACACCTACACCGATCCTGGCCAGGCCAGTCCTGGGCCTGGGATTGGTGTAATATGCCCTCCTCGCCAAGTGAGGAGGGCGTAGACACAGGATCGCTGTGGGTGCATCGCGCCTGCAAGCCACCGGCTCTGGAAGGTCTTGGGCTTCAGGGCTTGCGCGGATGTCGCCCCCAGATGGCCACACTGCTCCCGGTGCCAGGCGGGCTGGAAGGTAATTCGGTCTAGAGAGCAAGCCATAGGGCCAGGTAATTCGGGCTGGAAGGTAATTCGGTAATTCGGCCAGGTGTGTGCGTTGTCTCCCTTTCGCCTCTTCCTCCCTCCTCTCCAAAATAGCGCTGAAAAAAAAGAGAGCAGGCCATAGGGGGGATAGTTTAAGGGGGGAGGGATCGATCCTCAATCGCCCATGAATCGCCGACAGGGGCCCGATAGGCCACCTCGCCCAGCGGATTCGCTATCGGGGGCCTGTCGCCGATCTATCGGCGATGTATCGCCAATTCCAGCTCGATGTTTCCCCCTCTGACTCAGAGGGGTCCCACCCTACGTTCCCCTTTCACCCCCAGAGCCACCATCAAGCAAAGGGTCCCACCCTACGTTCCCCTTTCACCCTACGTTTCCCCTTTCGCCAATTCAGAGGCTCTGAGCTGGTCCCACCCTACGTTCCCCTTTCACCCCCAGAGCCACCATCAAGCAAAGGGCGAAGCAACGAGCAATGCACGTTCGGAGCTCCAGGCCTCTCAGGTGGGGTCCGAGCAGATCAGGCTGGAGAGTCGCTCCGCATTTCCTGCGCATCGGCGATGCAGCTCGATTTGGAGCCCGATTTCTCCACGCCGAGGCGTCGCCGATGCGTCGCCGATGCGTCGCCGATGCATCGCCGATGCATCGGCGAGGCGGCGCGATCCTCCGACCCCGCCTGCTCGGAATCAGCATCGTGTAACCTATCCCCATCCCCACTGGGCCATGGTACGGTTGAGGGAAGCAATTAAGCAACACTCCCCCCCTCCCCCGCAATCCAAAATTGACAGGTTTTCGCAAGACCGCTCGGAGGCCCCAAATCGGAAGATCCGAAGCCAACATTGCATTTTGGGGGGAGGGGGGGGGAGGTTCGAACCATGTGTTCTGCACGAGTGCTGCTTAAGACTGTTTCCGACGCCTGTATCGCAGCCCCTCGAGCCCACCCTTCGAGGTGGGGAGGCCCCAAATCGGAAGATCCGAAACCAGCACTGCATTTGGGGGGAGGGGGGGGGAGGTTCAAACCACATGCTCTGCACGAGTGTTGCGGAATGGTTTCCGACGCCTGCAGCTCAGCCCCTCGAGCCCACCCTTCGAGGTGGGGAGGGGCCCCGCGGAACCCGAAGGAGCAGGCACACACCTCCACTCACGCTCCACCCTGGAAAAATAATGTAATCAAGGGCAGAAAAAACGACCCTACCCTGGTTTACGAGGCGCTGTGCGCTGAAACTCCTGTGGGCTGACTGGGTAAACCCTGCGTGATGTGCCGCGTCTTGGCGGCTCTTGGCTTTGGGGGTTCCCAGGAGGTTTACAGACCACGCACTTGTAACCCAGGGTAGGGTCGTTTTTTCATCCCTCAATGTAACTCTTGCGCGCGGTCCGTCTCCCCGCGCCCATCCATTCCAACATTCACGCCGGGGCCGTGCGATCTGATGTTTCTTCCGTCGGCCGCGGCCGACTCGGCACCACGATCGGGGGCAGTCGCGAGGGGGGTGGAGGCGAATCTGTCGGCCGGGTGGGGCCAAGACCACGCCAGTGGTCGACTAGACGTAAGAGTGACCTTTCGCCGGAGTGACCTTTGGTGCGGGCATAGATGGGCCCCCAGATGGCTGAACGCGAAGCGGTAGCAGCGGCTGGCGCGCCTGGATTTGGCCTCTCCGCGGCCCCCCCAAAGCCGCACACCAAAGGCCACTCTTACCCAGGGTCACTCTTGCGTATAGCCGAAGTGGGGATCAGGATCGGCGAGGCGATGCCCATCGGAACCCCTCTCGGAGGCTTCCGCGCGCCCGGCAACCGTGCAGGAGAGCCTGGTGCTGCGGCGCCTCAAGGACCGCCGCGCCGTGGTGGCGGGGCCGGTGGAGCACACAGAGGACGGGAGCGCGCGCTGCGGGGGCGGCATCCTCCTCCTCTCCTCCTCCTCCTCCTCCTCCTCCCTCCTCCTCCTCCTCCTCCTCCTCCTCCTCCTCTCCTCCTCCTCCTCCTCCTCCTCCTCCTCCTCCTCCTCCTCCTCCTCCTCCTCCTCCTCCTCCTCCTCCTCCTCCTCCTCCTCCTCCTCCTCCTCCTCCTCCTCCTCCTCCTCCTCCTCCTCCTCCTCGTGGGGGCCCAAACGGTGTGGCGACCACACCGCGTGCTGAGTCAGTGGTCGAGCAGTGGCGAAGCGCCTTGGCTCTCCTGTAGGCACAACAGAGAATGTTCGAAGAACAGTTGGTGGTGTGCGCGAAATGTTCTAAGAACATTGCTGCTAGTTTGGGACGGTCTAGTTTTAATTCATACGATTTATGTTATCAGAACATTGTTCTTGTTGGAATGCCTGGACGTTCGGTCCCTGCTCAAAGTAGGAATTCGGGGTCACCACACGGTTCTGGGACTCGGGTCGCTCTCCAGAGATGTCTCGGGCGACCAGGGCCTCCAGTGCCCCAAGACCATGCGGTGACGGACCGAGCGGTGAGGTCGTTGGGGGGTCCCGAGGTCACCGCGCGGTCCGTCACCACACGGTTTCGGGACTCCAACGTTCCAGTTCAAAGCTCTTCAAAGCTTATGTCGGAAATGCAGGCCAAAGGATGGGAAAACGTAGGTCAGAAGGTTCCGCCTCGGAAAAGTAGGGCGGACATTTCCACAAAGGTATTGCAGAAACAGCGACAGCAAAGTAGGGCATAACTCGACATCAAAAAGCTTGAAAACTAGGGCGGGACGTTCCCGCCCTACTTGCGAAATTGCCCGAAGTACGGCAGATCTGGAATCAACGGGGGTGGAGGGTTCTCTGGTTCGAAGGAAGAAACACAGCAGCATAGACACAAGCTTCGAACTCCGCGCGGATTTCTTGGATCGGGGCTGGGCCCCCATGGCGGCGCGCCTCTTGCGCCGCCCCTAGCGCGCTCCGTGCGCCAGGGAGGGAGTCTAGCGCCGATTCAAGAAATCCGCGCGGAGCTCCGAAAGCCTACGTTTATGCAGGTGATTATTCTGCTACCAGCCAGATTTCGGGCCAGAGGCCGCTGAAAAGCACTGGGTACTGCACGGTAGCTTCGTGCCGCGTCGACGCGGCGGTGACGCCAGCGTGAACGCTCAAGGTTGAACGACGCCAGTGTCCCGTTATCGGCCGATATCACATGGTCTACGCCATCGGGGGGCCGCGATCGTGCAAAGCCGACCAGCCACACGGCGCCAGGGACCAGTGCACGAGTCGTCTCGACAGGAATGTGCCGCAGTCCCATTGCTCGAGTTGTGCGATAGGTGTTCGGTTGGCGCGGGGCCGACATTACGATGGGAGGCGCTGGGTCGCGTGCTATGCCCTGGCAGCCGTCTTTCTCATCTCCCAGGGCTGGATTGCTGCCACGGCGCGGCAGCGTGGCACAGGGATGCACGGCTCGTGTCATGGGTTCTCGTTCTTGCGCGCTCTCCCACAGCACTTCCTCGCCACTCCCCCCGCCCACCCTTGCCTTCCCACTTCGTTCTTTGCCGCGCTGCGCCTTCTTCTTCTTCTTCTGCTTCTTCTTCTTCTTCTCAGTATTCGTGTTATTTTTCTCAGATGCCGTTTTAAGATGCGCCTGTATGACCAAACGTTTGGGCAAAGTTTGGCCACGCTATTGGACCATGCGGTCCCCCAGCCGCTGTGGCAAACCGTCGGGGGACACGTGGGGGGGCAAGAATAGGATGAGGAGGTGGAGGAACAAGGAGGAGGAGGAGAAGGACGAGGAGGCCTCTTGGGAGCTTCCTGGGTCATTCTTGGGGCCTCCTGGGAGCTTCCTGGGGGGCCTCTTGGAGGCCTCTTGGTGGGCCTCCTTGGGGGCCTCTTAGGGGGCTCTCTGGCCGCCTCACGGCGCTCCTGGCCCGTCTGGCTGACGTCTTGTGGGTTCTCTTGGCGGCCTCCTTGGGCCGCCTTGAAGACCTCTTGGGGAATTCGTGGGCCGTCTATCACTAGCGCGACTCCAATAGAAAGTGACTTAGGGGTTTTCTGGCCGCGCCGTCGTCGGTTCACTTTCGGCCAAGGGGGCTCACGGGTCGGGCGGCCGCGCCGTGGTCAGAATTCCCAACCCCTTCTCTTCGCTGCAATGCCCCCGCAGTTCCCCAGGTGGCGGTCGTCAGTTTTTTGTGACCCTCTCTTAGTGGTGAGGGATGTGTTTCCGTCAGGTTTGCGACCCCCCTTCATTTTTTCTTGGTGAGTCCACGTCGTCGGTTCTGACGGTTCTTGGGTTTGATATTGATGATTCCCCCGTGATGGCCGTCTTGGGCCATATTGCGGCCTTCTCAGGCCGTCTGGGGTGCATCTCAGGCAGTGTTGAAGACATCTTGGCGCCATCTTGGGCTGCCTTGGGGCCATCTTGCCCGTCTTGGATGCATCTCGGGAGCATCTCGGAGGCCAGTTTGGCCGTCGTGGAGGCCATCCAGGAGCTGAACACCGATGACCCAGGCGTTCCCCAGGTGGCGGGCGGGCTGGGCCGAAGCCCCACAGGGGGGTTCTTTCGGAAAGAATATTGCCAGATGTTTGGCACGCCGTGCACCCCTGTGGCAAGACCATAAGGGGGCGGCGGATCCAATGGCCTTCGGCCCATCCCGTCACCGTGCTTGGGTTGTGGGCCACAAGCCTCTAGGATGTTCGTTAGGATGTCGCGGGAGGCCTCTCAGGTATTTCGTCCAGGCAGCGTTGATGCTTCTAGGGGCCGTTTTGGGGCATCTAGAGGCGTATTGGGGGGCTCCTGGGGGCTATGCCTCTTGGGGATCTCTTAGGGCCTCCTGGAGGCATCTTGGAACGGCTCGACTTGTCGGTTCAGGCTCCTACTCTTGGGCCCCTCTTGGGGCCATCTTGGGGCTCTCTCAGGCCGTCTTGGGCCCTTCTTGGGCAGGCTTGGTGTTCTTTTGGGCCGTCTTGGGGGCCCCAAGGGCCGTCTTGGGGCGATCTGTGGGGTTTCTTGGGGCGTCTTGGAGAGTCGGAAGTTCGGAAAGTCGTGAATTCCCCGAACATTGAAACATTGAATGGAAAGTATTGGTTTGGGCTTCTCGGGGCCCTCTTGTGGAAGCTCTTGGATCTTTCTTGGGGCGTCTCGAAGGCTTCTTGGCACATGTTGTAGCCACCTTGAGTGTCTTCGACCGATCGTGTAGTGATTGGGAGCCCCCCGGGACCGTCTGGGCGGGCTCCTGGAGGTCGCTTGGCCCGTCTTGGGCCCCTCTTGGCCCCGAAAAAGTCGTGTGCCACCACTCGGGGGGGCCCAGGGGAGCCGCGCCAAGTCCCAGGAGGGTTGAGAGTTTGGGGTCTGGACCTTTGAGAGGCTCTTCAGGAGGACTGAGGCTCGGGGGATCGAGCAAGGGACCCGAGGACACTCCAGCTCGTGCCCGAGGGCACGGTGGCGGATTCAGCGTCCCTGTGGTAGCACGATGGCTGTGACGCTCGAATTTCGTTTTCGACCTCACCCTGCAGGACGGACGCAGCTGAAACTTTGCCCCCTTGCTCTTGGCATCGCTCGGACGTGTGCATTTTTCCTTCGGCGAGGACCATCGAGGAGCATCCTTGATCATGTGGCGAAACAAACACGCACGAACCCCCCCAACAAAAACACAGGAAATGGACGTCCGAGCGATGGCCAGTGCTGCGCCCTCGCTGCTCGCCGACGGCGGCGCTCGCTCGACCGCTGGGGGCCCCGCGCTGCTCTCCGGCGGCCCTGCCACTTTCAGTCCCTGCGACCTTGTCGTGCCCTTTTTTGCGTCTCGGTCGGTCACTTCCGCTCGTGTCCCTCTGGCCCCCGCCTCGCTCGGCTTTTTTTGGTTCGAGGAAGCTGGCGCTTGACGCAAGAGCTTCCTGGGTCGTCGGTCGCCGTCGTCCGTCGTCTTTCGTCTGCGGCGTCGTCGTCAGTCGCCCGCCGTCCGTCGTCGCCCTCCGTTTTCGGCGTCGTCGTCCGTCTTCCGTCGTCCGTCCGTCTGGCCGTCCGTCCGTCCGTCCGTCCCTCCGTCCTCCTCCTCCTCCTCCGTGTTCGGCGCCGTGTTCGGCGCGTCCTCCTCCTCCTCCTCCTCCTCCTCCTCCTCCTCCTCCTCCTCCTCCTCCTCCTCCTCCTCCTCCTTCCTCCTCCTCCTCCTCCTCCTCCTCCTCCTCCTCCTCCTCCTCCTCCTCCTCCCCCTTCTCCTCCTCCTCCTCCTCCTCCTCCTCCTCCTCCTCCTCCTCATCCTCCTCCTCCTCCTTCTCCTCTGATGAATGCAACATTCATGCCTCTGAAAGTGACAGCTTGCTCCGACAGACAGAGGCGCGCTGAGGGCAAAGCGAATTACCTGTAAATTACAATAGCGGGATGAATTCGTCGATATCGACAGAAATACCCCTCTTATCGGGGTGCAGTCCTTTCCGGAGCCGTCTCAAGTTTCTGAAACCAGTCTCCGTGGGGGGCCCGCACTTACGGGACAAACCAAGGACCTTCTCACCGCTAGAGTAAAACTTGCACGACATGCACAAGTACAGGTGGCCCTTGTCACTGCAAGGAAGGGCAATGACGCGATGGCCTAATCTCTCCAACAGTCCCTGGTCCAAACGGGATTGCCCAGGGCACGTTCCTCCCAGCGGCTTAGCCTTCGCACGGGAACCTCGAAGACACACACGACACCGCCAGGAGGAACCTTGTTGGGACCAGTCGTGGACGAGCTCTAAAAGAGGAGCCTTCGAGTCGGGCGGCGAATGGAAGCGCAACAGACCACGAAACTCCAACTTCGGCCAAAGTGGCAAGAGCTCTGCTCCCGCAAACAGGATCGCCCTAGACACAGAAATCTGATGATCGAGGGCTTCCTGCTCCGTCGGGGACATGGTAGGGTGCTGCTTCACACCCTCCTTCGCATAGACGTCAGCGAAGAAGTTCCCTCTTCGCACGAACCTTTCATGCGAGGAGAGCCCATCCTCGTCC